CATACTTTATTATTATCGCACGTGAGTTGTCCGTGCAGATTATAGCACTTGGGATGAAGGATCCCCTCCGGAGTCTATACACACCTCCAGTGAGCGCAGGTACCTACTGAGTGCGAGTGCCGAGTGCCGAGTGCTGAGTGACTGGGAGGCAAGAGTGATTGTGAGGTATGCCCGAGTGGCAAGAGTGATTATGAGGTATGCCCGAGTGGCACAAGTGACTGTCAAGGCTAGGGATTCTGTACACACCCCTAGCACGAGTGACTCGTCACTACTGCTCAGTCTTTATTTATTGTTGTTACTTACTGAGTTGGCATACTCACGTTACTCCCTGCACCTTGTGTGCAGAATCAGGTGTGGCTGGACACGGTAGCGATTATTGAGTGTTCTGGTTGTAGATTATTCTTAGAGATAGCAAGGTAGCTGTTTGGCGATCGCAGCCCCTGCTCTTCTCCCTCTTGTCTTCCTCTAGTTGTATTTAGCTATTTCCAGGCTGAGTTAGCCTTAACATTGTTAGACAGATCGTAGTAGATGCTCATGACTAGTGACACCCCGATGTCGGGCTTTTATTTTCCGCACTTCTATTTTTCTTTGATTTGAACTTTTTAAATGGAGGTTTTTACCTTGAAATTATCTTTGAAATGAATATATCGGTTTGTTTTGGAAATGAGTCGGCTTGCCTAGTTCCACGATAGGCGCCATTACGACAGGGTTAATTTTGGGTCGTGACATATTTATCGGATACTACTGGTGTCATGTATCTTCTAGACAAACAGCTAGCTCTTCGAGAGTTGTTGGTATATTTTATACTATCAAATATTGCTCAGATACTTCTGGTATCATGAGAGAAAATTATAATCAAATAAACAGTATAAAACAATTGTTTAAGCACAAGAAAATACCCCTTCATAATATTTCCCTACTTCAGGAGGAATGTTCAATTTGTTACTTCTTCAGGAGCAAATTTAAAATACGAAATATTGAGTATATATTCTCTCAATCATATCAACTCTTCTGGAGGTGAATTGTAATATATTTACATCAAGAGCGCGTTCATATTTACAGCTTTATTAATATTATCACATTCACTTCAGGGAATAGATTAATATTTATCAAAAATTCTCATCCTTCAGGAAATCGAACATAATTATCTGAACACGCATTAATCACATCAAATTGTGATGCTTCAACCTCTTTTAAAATATTTACTACTTCAGGAGCAAATCGAAACGTGCATGTAATATAGATAATATTTTTCTAGCTTATCTTTAATTGTAACCATAGAAAACCTAAACTATCACTTCTGGTGGTCATAGGCATATACCATTTTAAGGTGGTTAACAAAATTTAGTTACAATGAGATATACGAAACATAATGGTTGTATATTTCTTGCAAACTCTGCTGAAATCTAAGTGGATCTAACAATGTTATCCACTTTGTAATCCTTTATTAAGATAATTAGAATGAAAATAAATACCAAAATAGGTACTGTATACGTAACATATAACCAAGCAAGCGATGATACATATATTAAAATTTAAGCAAAAGGCTCAAATTAAATTACGTAAATTTGGCCACTCCAGATGTAAGTGATATCTACATCACTACTGCCAAGAAGAAAAATTCACCACCTCAAGGATATAATCTGCCTTATGATACTTGGAATGAACAAGATCTAACCACGGAGGCAAGAGTGTCGCCTTACATCGGAGGTGAACACACCTCAAGGATATAATCTGCTTTATGATGCTCGGAATGAACAAGATCTAACCACGGAGGTAAGAGCGTCGCCTTGCATCGGAGATGAACACTGAAATAGAAATTAAATTCGAAGTAAGTGCTCAAAATGGCAGTCTCGTGTTGATAATGTATTATAAAATAAAAACCGTAAAGTAATTATAAAGACAAGTATATAGAGAAACTGATATATTATTCAATTTCAAACTGATGTCAATAATGAACTGAAATCTCTTCTATTTATAGAAGAAATGAAGCTGCTGTGTAAGCTGCTACTGCAAGCTGTTGTGTAAGTTACTATTGTACCAGATATAGATAATCTTCTATCGGGGATAATATTTATCCATAACGTAGTGTCGAAAGGATAAACTCATTATATCAGATATAAATAATCTTCTATCGGGGGTAATATTTATCCATAATGGAGTACCGAAAGGATAAGATTCTTCAGGAGGCTTATTTCCAATAGAGTACTAAATAGATAAATATATTTACGATGGAGTCCCATATGGATAAACTTTTTCGGGAAGCTTATTTACAACGAAATAGTAAATGAACATCCATAGTATAATATATTTATAACATTTTTGACCTTTGGTATTAGAGTTTTAGCCAATATTTAAATAGGTATCAACTGCGAATAATTAGTATTTTGCTATTTCTTTCACATGGAAAAAGTTTCGAACATAAATACCCCCAACTAAGACATGAACAAGTCCAACACACTGTACGGTAGTTCAAAACCCAGCAACGATTCATGTGGTTGAAACCCTATGAATTTCGAAACTTGTAAAGGAAAAACTCCAGCATGGAGTTCAAACTCGGTTTCAAACGTGATTCGCAGCATACAGTACTGGGATTTTACCTGTAGAGAATTTTAGAACTCTAGGAACAAATCTTGCTTTTGAACTTATAAATGTTTAAACTCAATTAGTTGTTCATGAAGTTTTTTCATATTTTAAGTAGGGTATTTATATCTAAATTTTAGCTCCGCATTAAAAATATTATTTTCTAATTACATTTTAAATACCGGTTAAACTCTAGTAACCGGCACAAAAAGTAGCTACACCAACTAACTTTTAGAAAAGGTGGTGGTCAAATTAGAGCTTTCAATCAAGCATTATGGGCTTGGCTATTTTTGCTATTTCTATCCGAAATACAGTCTAGAACATACTACAACAAAAACAACAATAACAATCCAGTAAAATCTTACAAGTGGGGTCTTTAGAGGGTAGAGTGTACATATACCTTACCCCTATCCCGGAGGGATAGAGATGCTGTTTTTGAAAGACCCTCGACTTAAGAAAACGAAAATAAACAATAAATCAGTGACAGTAACAAAAGCCAAAAAAATAATATCAACATTGTAAGGGACATAAAATAGATGGAAAAGTAATAACAATAACCAGTAATAATGTCATAACCCTACATACATCACTAACAACCCAAGGCGAAACATTATCAGCCTAGCTCACCCCCAGTACAAAGTAGAAAAATGCTCGCCTCCCTTCTAACCTACAACCCTAATACTCGACCTCCACACCTTCCTATCAAGAGCCATGTCCTCGAAAATCTGAAGTCGCGTCATGTCCTGCCTGATCACCTCACCCCAATACTTCTTAGGCCACTTTCCACCTCTCCTGGTACATGTCAATGCCAACTGCTCACACCTCCTAATCGGGGCATCTAGGCTTCTCCTCCGCACGTGTCCGAACCATCTAAGTCTCGATTCCTGCATCTTGTCGTCCATGGGAGTCACACCCACCTTCTTTCGAATATCTTCATTCCCAATCTTATCCAACGCCTAGTGTGCCGCACATCCATCTCAACATCCTCATTCTTGCCACTTTCATCTTCTGGATATGAGAATTCTTGGTTGTCCAACACTCAACCCCATGCAACAAACCGGTCTAACCACCGCTCTATAGAACTTGCCTTTACGTTTCGGTTGCACTTTCTTGTCACACAGGACTCCAGATGCTAACCTTTCATTTCATCCACCCTACTCTTATATAGTGCGTGACATCCTCGTCTATCTCCCCATCCCCTGGTTCTGGACCCTAGACCAGACTATACTTGTAATTTGTATTTAAAAAAATGGCAATTTTTATACAGAATTTCTAAAAGTGACTAAACTCTAAGCTATCGTTTGGCCATAGATTCCCAAATTTATTCTGAAAAATCTGATTTGGGTGAAGTTTGGTTTGAAAATGAAAATGTGTTTGGACATCTGTTTTGGGTGAAGTTTGGTTTGAAAAAACATGAAACATGACTTATACCCACAAGTTCTAAAAATTATCACAAATACCCAACAGTACTGTTATCAATAACATTCATTATATTATCGCAAACCATAGTCCTGAACATAAATAAATTTGATACAAAATTATCATTTTTATAATGAACTACATGATACACTATCAGATGACCGAGAAGACGAAGCAACATCGTTACAAAATAATAAATGGTGGGCTCTTTTATAAAATATAAAAGTGTGGGGCAATTTTTAAAAAATATAATAGTGATATTTTGGCCCAAGCTGGTTTTGGGATTTGGCCAAAATGTAGGCAAAATCTATGGCCAATCATGTGTTTGCCAAATAAAACCCAACTTTATTTTGGTAAAATCTATGGCCAACGGTCCTAAATAACATGCCATAATTTGGCCAGCTCATGAAAATTTTACTGCCTGAAACCTATGTAGTAATAAATTGTACAAAATCATTAGCAAAAAGTACAAAATAGTCAACTGTCGAAATTCCCAAATTCCCACTTCTCACAACCCTCGCTATATCAGAAACGAGGGTTCGATTCCCAGCAGAGAAAATCCCAAACTCCCTACGCCGTTTTCTCTTTCTCGCGCGCTTTTTTCACCGATTCTATCCAATTAACGTACAAAAAAAATAAAATTCCAAATCCATGGGAATCGAGCCTTCTCCGGCCGCCGAGAAAGTTTCCGGCGAGTCTCCGTCGGGAATTTCCGTCTCATTGTTCGATTATTCAGTAGAGAATCACTTCAAAGCAGCGGATACAATTTCTAAGCTCACCGGCGTACCTGAAATTGATGATTCCGATCAAGCTGAGATTAATCGCTTAGCTTCCTCCATTACATTCTTAAAGTAAATTCAAAAAATTACTTTTGAAATTTTGTGACGTTTAAATTTTATTGCTTTTTCGTATTTTTTTTTTAATCTCGTAACATGCAGAGAATGGAAAGATCTCAAGTACGAAGTAAGAGAAGCTAAATTTGCTTGCGAGAATGAGAGTTCTATAGGAACTGATGTGATTGGCAAAATAAGTTTGCCTCAATTTTCTTCAGCGGAAGTTCCAAAGGTACATTTTGTGAGATATTTTGCTGCATTTATTGTTTTTCCTTAAAAAAGTTGATTTTGTTGCAGAAGCAGTTGGTCAATGAGCAGCCAGTTCCTCGAGAATCGAGGTAGGCAGAGTTATTATTTTATTTTTGTATAATATTGGCATAATGTTCATATAGCTGACCCAACTTGTTCAGGATTGAGGCTTCATTTTATGTTGTATATTACCTGACATTACATGGTTGTGGAGCTATTTTTGTTTTGCCCCTAGCTCGAGCTATTCTACAAAGTTTATATGGCAGATAGTTTATTAAAGGCATTTATTCTGGTTTCGTCCATGTGCGGTGCATGTGCGCTTCCATTTTCTCATGATTGTGCTGTGATAGAGTGTGCTTGTGATCTCTTAAATATTTGGACAAGACTTCGATGTGTTTTTGGTTACACATTGATCAATTTATTATAGATTGGTTTGCGAAATACTTTAGACTGTTATCCACGTTGTATCTTTTGCAGCAAAGACTTTGTAATGTATGTTGGAGGTCTAGTGTGGGGAATGGACTGGTGTCCCCAAGCTTATGAAAATAGGGATGCTCCTTTCAAAAGTGAGGTACCTCTCTTATAAATCTGCTTTTGTATCCTTCTTTATCTTCCTTAAAGAAAGAAACTGAGATGTCAAATGGACAAGTCTGTGCCATCGCCAATTCCTTTTCTGGTACCTTCTCTTTTGGTCTAGTGAGAATACTAATTGCTTCTACTCGTACATGACTTCTATGTCCAGTATGAATTGTATAATGAAATCTGTCACTGAAACTTGACTAATTCTGAGCAGCCATTCCGCATCCATCATTGTTTATTGAGATGAGTTGTTATTAGGAAGAATGAAAGCTAATCTTGATTTGTCAAGAAATATGTTAAGGTAACAACGTCAGAGAAAATCTGGATAAGGAGCAGGGAACAACTGAAAGATCCTATCTTCGAGTTACAGTAGGACAGCGATTTTCTGCTCATTGTAACGTTTGTCCCTGTACTGTTTGATTCTTCCTATCTTTAATTGTTTTAAAAAGCTTTATGGAAATGCAGCTGTTTTCGGTGTGTCATTTAATACAATGGTTAGTCATCAAAAGTTATAATATCTGGAGCAGTCTTATCTCCCCAATGGAGTATCATAGAGAGGGGGAAAGAAATGAAATCAACTTAATCAGTGAAATGTAATTATTTTGGGGTTCCATTTTATACTCACTCGGTAACAGAGTGTCTCATGTTTGATTTACTTTATCGAGAAAGGTCATGTCTTTCCCTGCTCTTCTTTTAGCTATATCAAGCGCGCTTACTAAGAAATCAATATTTGGTTTTTTGAATTGATTCTGTAGTTTGTCGCAATTGCTGCTTATCCTCCTGATTCATCATATAGCAAGATTGGTGCCCCACTGACAGGCAGAGGTGTAATTCAGATATGGTGTCTGTTAGATCTCATTCAAAAAGATTTAATTTTGAAAGAAGATTTGTTAGCTCAGGTTAACAAAAAGACAAATCGAAATTGGACAAAAAGTGAAGCAGATAAGGGAGAAACATCTGGACCCCAACAACCAAGAGGAAGACCGAGAAAGAACCCTGGTGAAGCAGTTAAGGGAGAAACATCTGGACCTCGAAAACCAAGAGGAAGACCGAGAAAGAAAACTGTAACTGAATATCTAGATGACAGAGATTGTGATGACCACAATTTACAACCTCTTGCTATAGAGTACCCGCAGCAATCAACAGAACTTTCTGTAGATTTGTCTTGTGAAAATACGAATAAAGCCCAAGAAGATTTTGGGCAAAATCAAGAAAGATCCATTGTTGTGGTATCTCTAGATTCTCAGCTTACTGCTTCAAATAGGAGAGGCATGAGAAACAAGGCAAGATCAAAAGGTCAAACCGAGAATTCTGATGTGATTCCGCTAACACAATATGTTGCTGAAGAGTCTCCAGTTGTGAGTTCCCAGACATATGCTAGCAGTAGTCTTGTTTCAGCAGGGCCTAATAAGAGTGGTGCCACCGCAAAGAGAAGAAAGAAAGAAAAAGAAAAAACGGAAAACCAAACCCATGATTCTTCCCCGGCTTTACTAATGCAAAATGTGGATAAAGAATCTCTTAACATGTCCCAAACACCTGATAGCCATGGCATTGTTTCATCACAGTTTGATGAGAATCGTTCTCATGTAATTCAACAAATACCAACGGATGTTTCGCTACCTAGAATGGTATTATGTTTAGCTCACAATGGAAAAGTAGCAAGGGATGTTAAATGGAGGCCTTTAGATCACTGTGATGTCTCCAGACATAGAATGGGTTATCTTGCTGTGATACTGGGAAATGGAGCTTTAGAAGTGTAAGTTCTCCCTTTAAATATTTTGCTCTTGTGTTAAACTTTCTTGGATAATCTTTATTTTGCTCTGCATTCCTGGTATGATTTAGAATAGAATGAATCCACTTGATGCAATCCAAACCCATTGACTGTGGAAGTCAAAGAATAGACTTGATAGCTTTGGAAAGCTGCAATTTCAATTGACAAAGTTAATATTACTGAAGAGAAATATGTTTTTTGAAACATGATTTATGATTTTCAATTTAAATACTAGGCCATACCTTCTTGGTACTGTTCTTTTAATACAAGTACTTTACCTTTAAAGAAAACGATACCACAGTGGGCCCTTAAAATTCGGACTAGAGTTCCTAGCTGCAGAGTCTATGGGCTAGAATTGGTGTGGGCTTGACTTATTCAATTGCAGTTTCAATTGATTAATCAACTTAGACGCATGGATGTTGAATAGCACCCAGGAGGCTCAGCTTGGAGTAATTTCTCAAATGTTTACGGCCTAAATATTATTAGCCTGAGAAATCATTTTGATTCAGTTACACCTCCACTTTCTCCATTAAGTGGGCCAATCTATTAATCATATGTGGAAGTATAGTCAGTAATGATTGTCTTCATAACTTGTACAGTCAGTCATGATTGTTTTCATACCCTGTGTAGTCGTCGTGGTTGTTCCCATACCTTGTTCTTTCTCGTTATTACTTCTTTTAGTTTCGTACAGCTTCTTGCATCGCATCTTTCTCTCACCATAAGTACCCTGGTCTCCAATGTTGTGAGATTCTTCAATCTCATAACCCTCATTATCTAATGCAGGTGGGATGTTCCTTTTCCTCATATAATTAAAGCTTTTTATCCTTCTGTTCAAAAGAAAGGTACTGACCCTCGTTTCCTGAAATTGCAACCTGTATTCAGATGTTCAATGCTGAAGTGCGGGGATCGGCAGAGGTAGTTTAGAGCTCAAAGTTCAATTGCTCTTTCTGTTCTGTTTGATCATTAAAAGTGACTTAGCTGTGACATATTTACTATGATTTGTACATTATGATTTCTTAACAAGGTTTGCTTTCTGCATTTGCATTCCTTTCTTTATGAGTTGTAGACTAGTTAACGATCTTTGTCTTGACGAAGCTGGGAATTATGTGTCACGTGGTGAACTAAGATCAGGAAAATGCTGAGCACAGTACCATTCGAATAGATTTTTCATTAATCAGCGTAGTGTGAATGGATATGGCAGTTAGATAAGTGTTCCAACTTCACAGTAGACGAGCAGCATCTCTCTGTATTGGTTGAGCTTTCTGTGCTATTAACTTTGTCATCTTGTATGCTATGTGCATGACCTCACCTGCTAGTACTCTTCCATTCCCCATAACTTTCATCTTACTAAGCCTGTATTGGGTATTGGGTATAACTTCTTAATTTTTGAATTGTCCATATTACAAGTTTAACTTTGTCCTGAGTGTGCAACTTGTTTATTACTGTAAAGTTTATTTCATTTTCTCTTTCATATGATCTTCCATTCTTTCTTAAATTAACCTCTCTCGTTGTTTCCATCTCTCTTGTAGCATTCCCTTAACAGTGGAGTGGTCTGCTTCACCTCCGCATGATATGATTCTCGCTGGATATCATGATGGAGTGGTACTGGTTCTAATTTAATTTTTGTTTCCCTTTGCTTTTTCAAAATCGTTCTAGAGGCAACGTTGTATTCTATCTGTACCCCAGTACCTGTTTCATATCTTAAATTTAGAGTCAGTTTGTTCGATATGTCTTGCACTTATTTCATACACTTGAAGTGATGCTGCTGCAAGTATAATAATCTCGTCATCTCCAACCAATATCCTGTTCATGTTAAATGAGTTCTGACTTCTGAGCACTTACAAAAGGTCGAGAGTTAGGGACAAGTCCGCTGGACTTTTATTCCTTATTTAGCACTGTGACACTAATAGGTGCTTTTGGATAGGTTGCCTTGTGGAAGTTTTCAGCCAATAATTCATCTAAAGGTATTAATTACTCCCTGTATTGCGCTTTTCAATGGTTTCATGCGATTCAACTTAATGAGGTGGCTATTATGTTCGCCTATTCCTCTTTTTACTTTTTGTAGTTCCGGTCATGTATGCAACATGACTTTAATGCTGTTTTGTGCTTAAAGTTTGAGTCCTTCTCAAAAGACTTTTCTCAAGTCATATTGTCACTATGCCTCCTTGGTTAATGCTTTTTGTAAAATCGCGAATTCATGTTACAGTCCTTTTGCCTGCAGACACAAGGCCTTTGCTTTGCTTCAGTGCAGATACAGTTCCTATTCGGGCTCTTTCCTGGGCACCATTTCAAAGGTTAGTGGTGCTAAACTTATTCAATGCTATGAGTTCTCTCTGTCTTCTCCAAAAGCAATCTATATGGTACCTTCTCTAAAATAAAGGACATGTAGCTTTGGGTTCCTCATTTGAATTAACCATGTCTTGTGCGTCTACCTATACTTGTCTTTAATTTTTCTTCAAGAGGCATCAATTGCAACTGGTAAAATTGGTAGCTACTTAGTTATGGTGGCTTGTAATTTGTTTTAACATAAGTTGAGATGAGAAAATTGAAGGGTGAATCAGCGTGAATCGGTTTGTTGTGATGTGTATCTTTCACGGCCAACTGTTTTCTTATTGCTCAAGAATTGCAGTTTATTCAACAGTATGATTAACATATTGGGATTGTAGCGACTGGCTAAGCTTCTCTTGTATTTTGTCTGGTTTGTTTATTGGCCTACTTGGTACGAATTTTATGCAGTGATTCTGGGAGTGCAACTATTATCATCGCAGCTGGTCACAAGGGGCTGAAATTTTGGGACTTACAGTAAGCCTGTTTCTATATCTTTACGTCCTTTGATAATCTCATTTTGATTTTTTTCCCTTGGTAATTATACCCTTTTATTTCGTCCTGCTGAAAGGACAGCAATAAGCAGAAAAGATACATAACGGTTCGAAGTAATTCATACACATTCTGCTGTATTTCTTCCCACTCTCAGTCTTCTTAGTATTTTGAACATCAATGCTTTCTAAATAAAAGAGTTGCAAGTGTTTTTTTCTTTGCCATGAATTATTGTGCATCAATTTTTCCTTGAAGAGACATATTTTAAAATTTTTATGTTTGCTTTTGATTAATGTGTTTATACAATTAAGCTTTATTTTGGCATTATATGCTGTATGTTAAATCCTAGCGCTCATCATACTTTTGTGAACTATATGTCGTACTGGCTCGAGCAGTACTGGGTAATGGGATTAGACCTGTTTTATATTGCTTTGCTGCAGTTTCTAATGAAAAATCTTTATTTGGTTCTCCTCTCACATGCTGATAGCAATTGATATGCACTGCCGACTGTTTAAAAATTGGTTATCCTCATATTTTGAGAGTAGTGAAGGATGCTTTTTGGTTATTTTCCTAAGTAGTATTATAAGGCAAATGTTGTTGGAACACAATGGTCAACAATGCTATACGACATCTAGAGTTGCCAGTTGGATTGATTTTATTACGGGAATTTCAAGCAATTTTTAGGATGCAAAGCCCATATCAGTTGTTGCATTTGCGTTTGTGCATATGCACGCAGAGACACAGACACACACACATACTATATATATATATATATATATATATAATTTTTTTTTCTTTTTTCTTAATATCCGACCTTGCAAATCTTACAGGGATCCCTTCCGTCCTTTGCGGGAGTATAACGTAGGCCAGGGAGTTAATATATGCAGTGTGGATTGGTTACCCGAGCCAAGGTATGAGCATACCCCATCTAACAAATTTGATTTAGATATCTGCTTTTGACGTCTGTCTCTCAAATTGCATTTGTTAATGTTCATAGATGTATTATAATATCATGTGATGATGGGACACTAAAGATCCTTAGCTTGCCGAAGGCTGCATATGATGTACCTGTCACAGGAAACTTTTTAGTTGGGACTAAACAGCAGGGATTCCATAGTTTCTCTCGGTCTCTACTTGCGATATGGAGTGTCCAAGCTTCCCGAGTAACAGGTTTCAACTTTTGAAAGATCTGTATCTTTTCTATCTGCAAAGATCATACAGTTTACATAGATTTAAGTAGTGTCAAAAGTAAAAATGAGATATTCGTGAATGATCAGACAAGCGTTTGCATAATGACACTGAATTCCTGTGAGTTTTTGTGTGTGTGTGTGTGTGGGGGGGNTTCATGAGCTTTCTGTCTACAACTTGCTCTTTATGTTTTCAATAAGGGGCACCAAGGAGGGGGTAGAAGAGAAGGGAGTACAGTCTCAACTCTCTATGCATAGCAGCACAGCTTGGATGAAGACGAAGGATCAGCTTAATTCTAAGACGAGGGTGTTTGGGATGGGGGTGTTGTGCTTTCTGAAATACATTCTGCCTCCGTTTAAATTTACGTGAATCCATTTGATTGGGCACGGAGTTTAAGAAAAGAGAGAAGACTTTTGAACTTGTGGTGTAAAATGAGACACATATTTTGTGTGACTATAAATCATTGCATAAAGATAAATTGTTTCCAAATAGGAAAAGGGGTCATTCTTTTTGGCACGTACTAAAAAGGAAATATGTTCACATAAATTGAAACGGAGGGAGTATTTGATTTCGATAAATAAAGTTACATTTTCATTAAACTCTAACTTATTTGGTTGTAATCCAGCCTGATACATTACCCTTTTCTTAAATTTTTGCGAGCTCTAGGCATGGTTGCGTATTGTGGGGCAGATGGTACAGCTGTTCGCTTTCAGGTGTGTACTGGTTAAGATGATTTTTTGTTAAATCTGTTCTTTTTATGGCTTTTCCTGCTATATTCTTCTCTATATCGAATATTTGGAAGGGTCTGGTCGACATTGTTACTGTGGTCGTAGATGTCTGGAAAAGGGATAGAAAAGTTATACAGCAAATATTTTATGCATTATCTCTTGAATAACAACTGGTCTCCTCTGCAACTTTCAACCACTTCTGTCCAATTCTCTCTATAAACCACCTGATTGGTCACAAATTCTTCCAACATCTTCCCAAAGTAAACATGCCTTTCTCTGTTTATTATATCTCACTTCAATTATTTTCCTTAATGCGCTCATATTCTCTGATGGCACAGCTTTTTGGCATCTTCAGTAACCCTAGCGGCATCTTTTAACTCTTCCAACTTTTGTACCTATGATTTATCACCTCCTAATGTCTTAGAAGTTGCTGTTTCAAGTTTCTCTGCTCTTGAATTTAAAGAAGACAATTCCGAATGAGAGTCTGCACCGTCAATAAAGCACTTGAGCAGTCTAAAAATGCATGGGTAGAATATCCAAATGCTTCGCTGCCTGTGAATTTAACTCCCCATACAATGTGCTATATTTAATAGCCGCAGTAGCAACGTTTCTCATCGCAGCCCGTTTCTCTGAGAATTCCATATAGCTCGTTTCATTGGCCTTTTCTTGACTGATAATGCTCCGTGTGATTGCCTTTGAACATATCTTGTGTTTGACGAGCTTATGTATCTCTATCTGTATCAGCATGTAAAGAAAACTTCGAATATGTACTTCTTGAGAGGTAAACTGTATGCTTGTTGAATTAGAGACCTTATCTATATTACCACTATACTCAGCTGACTAGCAGAATGGAGAATGATGCTGTGAGGAATCGCACCCCACATTTTCTCTGTGGATCATTTTCCAAGGATGAATCAGGTATCAGCGTCGTTACTCCAGTGCCAAATTCTCCCTTTCGAACGTTCTACTCAGGGAAACAGTGGCGTGATGCCATCTCAAGATTTCCACATGGTGTCAATTCAGTCCCAAATCAGGAGAAACGAGCGATAGAGCAATCAGATGAACAGCCCCTGGGTAATATGTTGAACTGCTCTACTGATTTTCATTTACCCACCTCAATTATGACTCCATGATACCCATTCTAAGCATGGTTCATCGTGTCATCTTGCAGCTTTATGTTATGGCAATGATCCAAACGTTGAAGGAGGATCAGATGACGAGTTAGTGGCTCAGAAGAGTAAACAGGCATCCAAAACAAAAACAAAAACTACGAGCAAGAAACCGAAAGCTGATGAATGTGCTCTTATATGCAATGAAGAAGAAGCAACAAGATTGAGAGAGAAACTTGAAGAATTGCCGCCCAAAGATGTGTCGATCAATCGGGTAAGATGGAATATGAACAGAGGTAGTGAGAGATGGCTATGCTATGGAGGAACTGCCGGGCTGGTACGCTGTCAACAGATTGATTTATCGTAACTTCACGGGGAGGGTGTAGACTGTAGATTGTAAGCTTGTTATCTATACACTATTTGTCATGTTATCTATACACTATTTGTGGTTATCCCCTTTTAGTGCATGTATGTATATTAGCAATTTCAAGAGAAGTTGTTGGGGTTTATTGAGCATTGTCCAGTGACCAAAGCGCTTAGAAATATTCATCGGCAAATCTAACACGTAAGTAACGCAGAGCCTGATAAAACCACAGTTAATGTAAATATCTCAAAAATTGTGTTGACAAATTTGATACGCGGTATTATAGATGGGAGATGTGGATACTTGATAACCTAAAAATGAATTAATGAAGGTAAAATTACGCGACACATTAAATATATATACTGTATTTACCATTCGTAGCTAGCAAATTTACCATTCATGGCTATATTTGAATTTTATAGTAAATGCATGAAACAAAAGATCAGTTGTTTTGAACTGAAATAAGAGAGTAACAGGCTCACGTAGCTCAGTTGGTTAGAGAGCTCACTTAGTAAGCGAAGGTCTTGAGTTCAAACGAATACAATTGCGCGAACAAATATAGTTGATATAGGTTGTATTTATAACAGCTAATGTCATTAATTAGTTAGCTTTATTCGCATATATGTATTGGTCAAATTGGTTACAAAAAATATTGTTGACCAAGTTCGGTCCCATAAGGTGAGATAATTTGGTATTATATGAAATATGGCCACTAATTCACTTAATCATATTTTCAAGAGATTACGTTAATCTGAAGTGGTCTTTGACTCTATCTACCACTATATAATATGCGGTATGCCTAAACAAGATCTTTGCTCCAAAACATACAAAAGTTATAGTATAGTCTTCTTTAAAAAGTGCAGTAGTCGTCTTGTAGAGATAAAATATGGTCCAAGGCTCTTATGAAGTCTCCATTCTTGATTGCCTTGTTGCTAATCACCCTAGGTTTGTTTCTCTTTCGTTTTCGTTTCTCTTTATATATTAAAAACCTCTTAATGCATAATTATATACTCCCTCCATTCTATTTTATGTTACTTAGTTCAGAGTATAAGAGTCAAATTTTATTGTAACTTATAATATTTTTTTTTCCAGAATACTACAAAAGTTATTTAGTTTTAATAACAACAACAATTATGCTTTAGTCCAGAATAAATTGGGGTTAACTATAGTCCTCATTAAATCGGACAATATTATATTTTACAACTACAACACTCATAGGCGGACCTATGCTAGGAAAAGAGGAGTCATCGGGCCGTTAACTTTGACAATTCTTTTTAATATATAAGTTTATATATGTTAAAAACGGTCATACATTTTGCTTGAGACCTTTAAAATCAAAAGTTTGATGGAGCACTGGTTAAGTAGTGTAGAAATGACATCAGGTAGCCACTCTAAAGGGTTGCTGTTTAGAAATTAGCCAGCGAATTCTGAATTTTAGTTTTTCAGGACACAAATATCCTGAATTTTCTTGAAGTTAAATTTTTTTGTTTAAAATTTCAGGACAAAATAAGTAATGACTAATCTCTAAATAGCATCCCTGAGAATGACTATCTGTGCACTTGCCCCTACTGTAGTCCGCTCATGGGCCTTCCCCACCTTCGAATCATGGGTCCGCCTCTAACAACACTTAATATTTTTTATAAACCTCATTTAGAATGTGAAATAACGACTTTGTCTAAATATATTTTAATATGTTGTTGTAAATACTCCATCCTACAAGGTGGCTGCTATACACCACTGTCATTATATCGAAGACTGCGAAGACCAAGCCATTTGTGTTTTTCATATATGCGTATGCGTTCCTAAGACGAGAAAGCTTGGGAAAGTTGCATTTGGTCATGGTCTGCCTCCAAATTGATATCTTCCAAGTGTTTGATAAATTACCTAAATGGGAAGTACTGTCATTTCCCGTTAAATACATGTTTTAATTGGCAAAATTATGCCGTTGCTATATAAATTGATGTATTAATTAGTTGTCATGTTACCAATGTTATTTTGAGTTCTTACTGATTTTTGCATCGTATCAAATCATAAACCGTCGCAAAGTCTTTTCACTCGGTGATCTTTTGTTTATGAGTTCTAACTTTATATGTCGATAGTATAAAAGAATTTTTACCATAAAAGAATTTTTATACAAGTAACCGGTCACAAAAAATATAGGATTATAGGCTGGAAATTAAAACAAATTATCTTTTATAACAGGTTAAAATACATAAGTGGTTTAACATTTTTTCACACTAACACTGTATATAATTTTAAATCCTTAATCCTTTATTTATAACTAAATAATTTCGTTACCAACTAATTCGGTCTTTTTTTTAGATATCATTGAGAAAAAGCTACAAAATAATTTGTTTTCTTTATATTCTCATTGAAGAAAAACGAATTCATAAAGGTTATGGAAAGGCAGGCTCTCAAATAAAAGTCATTTTTACTGATTTTATCGTTCTTTAAAAGAAAGTGTCACGACCCGAAATTTTTCACCGACGGGACCGTGATGGCGCCTAACATTTCACTTGCTAGGCAAGTCAACGTTAGAGAATCATTAAACCAATTCCTTATTTCCATTCAGTAATTAACAATAATTAACTAAAATGAAATATAATAAGTGCGGAATATCATAAAAGCTGTATTAATTACTACCACCCGGATCTGGAGTCACAATTCACGAGCATTCTAGAATTTGCTACAAGTAATAGTCTGAAAGAAATACAACTATCTGAATGAAAGAAACAATAGAACATAAAAGATAGACGGGGACTTCAAGGTCTGTGAACGCCGACAGATCTACCTTGAGTCTCCGGACATCGGACTAATAGCAAAATCTCGATCAACCCGAGCCGGTATCAAAATCTGCACAGAAAGTGCAGAGTGTCGTATCAGTACAACCGACCCCATGTACTGGTAAGTATCGAGCCTAACCTCGACGAAGTAGTGACGAGGCTAAGGCTAGGCACCTACAAATCAACCTGTATAATTTAACATTGTATATACACATAACAGAAATGAAGAACTAAGCAGGAAATGTCGGGAGGGGAACATACTGAGGGGAATACAAGATAAAAAACTACAACAGAATGATCACCGGAGCAGTCAATATACCATGAATCAACAGGAATAGTGAATACAGTAAAAAAAAAATGCACGGCATCACCCTTCGTGCCTTTTCTCTCAATCTCACCATAAAATTAATAGAAACGATACGACATCACCCTTCGTGCATTAACTCTCATATCATGGCACGACATCACCCTTCGTGCATTAACTCTCATATCATGGCACGACATCACCCTTCGTGCATTAACACTCAATATGGCACGACCTTCGTGCATTAACACTCACAATATGGTACGACATCACCCTTCGTGCATTAACTCTCATATCATGGCATGGCATCACCCTTCGTGCATTAACACTCACAATATGACACAACATCACCCTTCGTGCATTAACACTCTCCCTTACCATAATGCAATGCATAAATAACAACAGGGAGATAGAATAACAAGTACAAACCTTACGTCAACATTTGGTTCCATAATATCAATCTCAACTTTGAAATAAAAACTCAATTATCATCAGAAAATCTGTAAACATGATAAGAACGATAAATTGAACAATACTAGTATAACACGTAGCAATTAGGCATAGGAATGAGACAATATAAGAAAAACAGAGAAACATAAAAAACAAGTAAATTGGCGGCGCATAAGTACTCGTCACCCCACATATACGCCGCTCACATGAATTTCACTTAGCAAGTAATCTAAGGTTTCTAATTCCCTCAAGTCCGGATTAGACACAACACTTACCTCGCTCCGAAGGCCACTTAATTCTCAATCACAGCTTTTTCTCTGGAATTCACCTCCAAACCACTCGTATCTATTCAAAAATGACTCAATAATATCAAATGATACTAAAGGAATTAATTATATTGCATAAATTAAATTTTCCAAATTTTCTTCCAAAAAGTCAAAAAATCGACCCCGGGCCCGCTTAGTCAAAACTCGAGGTTCGGACCAAAATTCATTTACCCATTCACCCACGAGCCCGAATATATAATTGGTTTTGGAATCCGACCTCAAATTGAGGTCTAAATCCCCAAATTTCTGAAATTCCTAGTTTCTACCCTAACCTCTAATTCTATCATGAAAACTCTAGATTTTAGGTTGATAATTCAAGAAATGTAATGGGTAATTGAAATAAAATGGTTTATAATCACTTACCAACACTTTGGGGAAGAAAATGACTCCTAAAAATTGCCTCTGCCCGTTTGGTTCTTGAAAAATATTGAAGAAATGGCTTAAACCCGTGTTTGATTCTTTTTTATGCACTGGGCGACAGTGTGCATCGCGTTCGCGAGGCCACTGTCGTATTCGCGAAGGGTACTGGCTGCCAAGCCTTCGCGTTCGCAAGATCCTGCTCGCGTTCGCGATGACTACTCCCCCTACCCTTCGCGTTCGCGAGGCATTGCTCGCGTTTGCGATGAAGGAAAGACCAACCCTCCCCCAGGTGTGCCTAACACTACGCGTTCGCGAGGAGTTGGTCGCGTTCACGAAGGGTAATGCCCCCATCACTTCGCGTTCGCGAAGAAGAAAACTTCAGTCGCCCAGTTTACTCTTCGCGTTCGCGAGAGTACCTTCATGAACGTGAAGAAGGACATGCCAGAACACCTGCTGCAGCAAAATACCAGATTTTCAAAGTCCAAAACATCCTGTGACCTATCCGAAACTCACCCGAGCCCTCGGGGCTCCAAACCAAACATGCACATAAGTCTAAAAACATCATACGGACCTGCTCGCATGATCAAATCGCCAAAGTAATACCTAGAACTCTAAATTTGGCACCAAATCAAATGAAATTCTCAAGAACACTTTAAAGTTCATATCTTCTCAACTGGACATCCGAATAACGTCAAATCAACTCCGTTTCTCACCAAATTTCACAGACAAGTCTTAAATATCATAATGAACCTGTACCGGGCTCCGGAACCAGAATACGGATCCGGCACTAACAATGCCAAACATCAATCAATTCTTAAAAATAATTAATTTTCAGACTTTTAATTTTTATCTAAAATTCATTACTTGAGCTAGGGACCTCCGAATTCGATTTCGGGCATACGCCCATGTCCC